CGGCAAAGAAGTTTTGGTTAGCTGACGTTCTAGTTGCCAGAAAACTATGATACTGTACACAGTAATAATGGTAATCACCATATAGTTTCAAATATATTATTTTCCCCTTCTCCATTATGATGACTTCTCAATGACATTTCATATAAATAAAAGCAGCGAGCTAGGGTTATTGGTTGCCTGTGTTTTAAACCGTCAGACAGAACAACTGTTTTATGTTGAATATTTAGGACGGGGTAGACAACCTTTGGCACTCCAATGTTGTGGAAATGAAAGCGGCTCATATTGGAAAGAGGCTGAACCTGTATCAAAAACATAACTATGTTATAAACTACATGCTCCTTTACATACACGTTACATAGATTAACATGTTTTGCAGCATATCAAAAAAATAAAAACTGTTTTCCCTTTAAATGTTGCAATGTAGCTGTTGAAATAAACCTCTATAATGAGCACAGTAGTGTGTATAGGGAGAGGGAAGTAACCTCTGCCACTCATGGTACTGAAGACTAGAGGTCGCACCATGCCCTGTGCTGTGCACAATGAAAATGATCATGTATAACCTACAGCTTTGCAAGACACAATGACAGTCTAGAGAAACCACAAATGGAAACGACAAGGTTAAGTACCAAGTAGGTACTCTTTGAAGGTGCTCTATCTGGGCGGATTTATTTGCTTGCTAATTTCTGCCGTGGTTGGAGTGTCTGGTCCTTGAAGAAAAAACGCAGACATGCACACGCTAAAAAGACCTTTATCTTTCCAATTAACATTTTCCAGCGGCATTCATTGTGCGGGCAAGAATACATTTCCAAACCTCTGCATTATGCCAGGCGTTTTCAACTCGTGAAATATTTAAACAACTCAGTACTCCAATATTGACCTCATTTGTAAGAAGCTCTGATTAAAATCCATTGTGTTTCTAATGTCTTTTCATTTAAGGCAAGGGGGATCTAAACTTCAGCAAACGAGACATTAACATGAACAATTACAGCCAGATCTCACGAGCCCCAACATTCTGTGAGCTTTTTTTCTCTCCTCCTTGTATTAAACCAAATTAATTCAGTTTAAGGTGAATAAAATAATAAAGAGCAAACTTTTTCAATAACATATTATACTTCTGTGAGAAAACACCACAAGTAGAGAGAGTCTGGAGCTAAAAGCTGAAGAAAGCAACTAAAAACCCATCGGTTAAGTCTAATGAATTATGGTGTACATTTTGCATGTGGAGAAAGTCATTAGTAGGGAATACAAAAAAAATAACACATGAGTGTGCCTAAATTACCATATTTATAAAACATACACATGAACACATATACACGGACACCCATGCATGAGCACTGACACTCTACACAATTTATGTCCAGTGTCACTTATTGTTATAGTTAGCCATATACATATGTTGATGATCTTGCACATTCAGCCCAAATAATTATCAAAACCATGGGCCAGCACAAGCCAAAGTCACAGCTTTCCATAAAAGGAAAAGAGTGGTGTCCAGTAGACTCTCTAAAACGTCAAGCTGGTGTAAAACAGCTTGACAACTTACTATAGGAGGATTTCAGGGAACTACTAGGACCACAACTACTATAACCACTAAAGTGTGGTTATGGTGACTAAAGTGCTCCTTTAAGGAACTGATTGTTGTTTTGTATTAATATAAAAAGGCAGATAAGTTTGATGATGGTCTAATTATTATACATCAGCTGTTATTAATATATATTTACTATATAGATATTGGCACTCTTATCTACGCCATCCTAAATTAAACATTGAGTACGTAAAGGGTTATTCCAACCACCACAACCACTTCAGTGACTTGAAGTGGTCATGTTGGTAGGAGCCTGGATGTGCAGTATTTTAGCTCAATACACTGATGAAATATCCTGAAATATTGACATTTGTGTGCTGGGGACATGCTGTACCTCAGCACATATGACTTCCAGGTTCCAGGCTACCTAATGTCAATTTTGAACATAACTTATGTCTGATGTCATTGCGCACTGCACTCTGCTGACAAACATACTTGATACACATTTGCAGGCTCATGTCTGACCTCTCTCGCTTCCACACTAAATTTAACACTCCATGCCTGCCTACCCACTCTGCTGCTTTATTTTTTTTAATCCCGTCCTCTCTCCCACTTTATTCACTCCCTCCATTTCCTCACCCGCTGCGGACTCAGAGCTTGCACATGCACTCTGAACCCATTAAATCTTTCAATCAAGGGTTTCTCTATGAGTGGCCTTTCATTGGACCTCGACACGGCATGTTACATCAAGCAGTGCGAGAGTAGAAACTTGTTTAAAAACACTCTTTGAGCCCTTAGCCTCATTCATTTTAGAAGACAGAGCAGATTTTGCCTGCCTCTAATTATAGCACAATAAATAATGAATGTATTGAGCTAAACTGTTAATGAACTTTCTTTTGAGCTGTCTTTATTAACCCTCGAGCTTTCAGGTCTAATGGCTAATTTGTGAAACCCTGGTGCAATGCTCTATTCTTACCACAAAGAGTGAGAAAAAGGTCCTATTGGCTCCTTGAGCCTTACTCATTCCCCTTTAGACCATGATGAAAACTTACATACATAGCTAGTCTTTACATTTTATACTGCCATTCCTATATTTTCTTACTTATAGTATTTTGTTTCCTGTCATTCATAGAAAAAAAAATAGAAAGGTCACAAGTTTGGGGGATTCCAAAACAGTCCCAAGCAGGGGAAATCTATGAAGGGATGCAGAGGTACAACTGTCCCCTGAACCACAAGCATACATTAGTTTCAGGCTGCAGACTCACTCAACCTTTTTTCAGCAGATTAAAAACAGCAATGATATATTGGGCTGTCTTCTGCCATTCTACTGATGAAGACAGGCACGAACTGTACAGGGCAGATTTGCCAGAACGGAGGTGTACAGGATAATGTACAACCCTTTTATGCTTGGGTTGGTGGCAGAGATATCAAAAATGATGAAAGTGATTGGATAATGTGGGACAGTGGGTTGGTTTAAAGAGCTATTCACCTGTAACTGGCCCCCAGGTCACACTTGCCATCCATCTCCTTTTCCTAGACACAATAAAAGATACATGTGCAGAAAGGATGATTGTCAAAAATATGTTTTACCCCTACTTACCTGTGGTATTATGGTAATCAAACCAAATATAGAAAGTTTATTACCACTGAACTAAACTATTTAAAACGTATGTTAATCTGTGAAAGAAAAAAACGGTTGTATAACTGCATCAATCAGCTCTCTGAAAATCTAAAATAGCGTATGATAATTAAATTAGTCATCTTCTTAATACAAAATAATGTTGTATTGTCTGCTATTTGAAGGCTTTTAAATACATCCCAATGGGATTCTCTCTAAAACGTTTCTTCAGCTGTGCCTTGCTTTTAAAATATTAAATAGCATCAATGATTATGAATATATTTTTCAAAGCTGGCCCTAGGGAAAGAGAAATGCAATTCGTGACGTGATATTTGCTCTTGAATCAGTTTGTAAAACAGAAATAATGGATGTCTAAAATATTAGTCTTGAGATAGTTGATATTTAAAAAATTAACCCATTTAGTGTGAGATTAAAGCCTTTGTTCCTAGCTTTGTCTGCCGTTCCTAACTCTGAGTGTAAGATGGTCTTTTGTCATTTGCTGTGTCCTAGAAGGAGATCAGTTTCAGACCGAATTGCAATTTGGTCAAATTTGGGGAAATATACCTGAATTACAGACTAACCGAAAGACTCAATGCCGACATATTCAGGGGAGCGGGGTCAATATTGTAAATGCCAAAAAGAAAAGGGAAAAAAAGAAACTTGATGGCTAAGGGACCAAAGACCAAACAAAAAAAGGTAAGTAAAACAGGCAAATCAGTGTGTCACAGGTTTGTGGTGAATTAGCTCATGATTTGAACAAAGCAAAGTCAATTAAACTAAAAAGTCTGTATTGTTGAAATAATGACATAAATTGGAAAATCCGGGAAGTTAACAAATGTAATAGAACCAGGATCATTCAACAAAGTATATTTAGTCTTCTAGACAGGATAAGCAAACAAAGTAAAAAGTCTTAGGTTAGTAAACAAATTGCAAAAGTTCCAAAACAGGTCCAGGCATTAAACTGGTTGTTTGTCACACTGCCACTGAGTAATCCACCATGAATCCCCCAGGTTCCAACACCCCAAGGGCCCCCATACACACACACACTGCCCCCCATACACATACACTGCCACCCCATACATACACACACACTGCCCCCATACACACACATTGCCCCACACTAACACATACACACACACTGTCCCCCATACACACACACATACACACACACTGCCACCCCATACATACACACACACTGCCTCCCACACACACTGCCCCCATACACACACATTGCCCCACACTAACACATACACACACACTGCCTCCCATACACACACACTGCCCCCTATACCACACACTGCCCCCCATACAAACTGTTCTTAAACTACTTACTCTAGCATGGGGTCCTGGCACTATTGGCACCATAACCACTACACTGAGCTGTAGTGGTTATTGTGTCTGGATTATTTCTTTAAATAATCTTCAAGTGCCCCTCCCGAGATCAGGCTCTCGATCCGCCCATGGCAGTGTGGGGAACATAACAGGCATAAGACAAAAGGTGTCTGCCGGAGAGCAGAAAGTGTTCGCCTTCCTTCCCTTGCATGCATAGCCACGTGAAGTGGTTGCAGGGCCCGGAGGACAAGGAGCAATTGCAGTGTGCCTTACACTAGTGGCGTGTTGCCAAAGAACAGAGGAATTAACCAGAGGTCAGTGAAGTGAGTGTAACTCGCCTGAGCCTCCAGGCATGGTATGACATAGAGTTCTACAAACTATATACATAATATAACATTTTATTAATTATTTAATACAAATATATCAATATAATTTTGTTTTTTTCTACTGCTTTTTTTATTATGTAATTATTTAGCAGCATACTAATTGGCCCATTTTCAGTCCTTTTTTTTTTTGTTTGCTCTTAAAAAAAAAAAATTAAATATCTTGCAGTGCACAAGTCTAAAAACTACCACCTGTGTATGATGAAAGAATTCAACCAATCTTCCCACTCACTAAATTCTTTCTTCAATAACCAAATCATCTTGTTTAGTATAATAAAGGCAAAGGTAGAAGGGACACACCTAGAAGAAGAAATAAGTTTAAAAGTCAACAATATTTAATTGTGAAAAATACAATGGGACCTGAAAGGGAAACTGTCATTTCCAGACAAGTGTCACATAATTGTAGGAGTTAAACTAATTTAAATGCTATGCCTTGTATGGCATGGCATGCCAAGAAAAAAAAAAAAAGGAACATTTTAAAAAGAGCTTCTAGTAGCTAAATTTTAGTTTTCTTTTTGGTTGTACAAAAATGTCATTATTGGCAGTGCTTCTTGAAGATCGTGAAGACAATATATGTCTAGATAAGGGTAATTGTATGCATATATGGTATGTGCATTTTTAAAAACTGCACTATAATTATTATTACTAGAATACAGCGAAAACGGAGCTACATAATCAGATTTGAACTATATACTCACACATCAAATATTTACATCAAATACATATAGTAAAGTTCTAAAAACTGTGATCTGAACAGTATTCAATGTTACGTTACTGCCTCATTTTCATTTAACTTCTCATTCAATACTGTACATTAGTTCTCATGCAATGGAAAAGCTATGTAAGTCAGAAAAGTACAATAAGCAATTACATATTAGCAGGACCTTAATTTGCAGAATAAATTATAATAAAGTATTGTTATCACAGGGTCAAAAGAGGCCAATCTCTGCCAGGGTAGGATGATATACGGGCTCCTCTGTGCTCCTGCTATTCACAAGCCCAGAAGAAGTTATTTTAGACAGCATAGAATTTGAAGCACTTGTTAAAAACTGACAAATGGTTGCAGGTAGCAATTTACTTTTCATTTGTGGTGCTGTGTTCCAGCCATTCTTTCAATTTGCCAACTGCCAAGGGCGATAAGGAGGGAGTTTGCACTCCATTGGCAATCTTTAGGGACACTTAATACAACGGGAAATGATACTGTTCAGAGGGTGGAACTCTCGTGGCAAATGCTCTCTCTCTCTAGAAAGGCCATTCCGGTCCTGCTCAGGAATATTTGGGGTCTTGAAATTGGTTGATTGCTGCAAAACAAAAATAAAATGAAAGATTAGTGCAGACCAAAGAACTCTGCAGGGTTCATCTCAGTGTTAAAAGCAATCTGTGTTTTGTTACGAGATGCACATGCTGAGAATAGAGAAAAAAAATCAAAAAGTAAAAAAAAAACTAAATAAGACAAAGAAACATCCAGGAATTTATATGTACGTTAAGAACAATAGTCCATTTCACATATATACTCATAAAAAAGGTTGCGTCTATTGTGTCAAGCCATCAAATATGTTCTGATCTCAAAAATGCTACTACATAGGAAATTTAACAGGTTCTTAACACCTGGGAAATTACAGTTTTAGCTTCCTGCAACAAGAAAAGGTAAATGCCACAAGAATGTGCACTACTAACAAAAATGTTTACTTTGATACGTCTTTCCTTAGACGCAGTGACATTATACACATACTATAACATTAGTTATATTGATGCATGAATGTTAAGGGTCCTGTACGTAGCAGGGATATATCAATAAAAGAACAAAGATCTCTTACACATCTCTCATGAATGCACCTGCCTAAAGGGTAGTTTTCTTTTGTTTTGTTTTTTATAGCAAGAGGCAATTTGCCTGTCTCCTATAAAGAGAAAACGCATGTCTACAATGAATGTACGACAAGCAGATAGATAGGCACAAAGAGACAGATTTCCCCCTAATGTTACAAGGTGACTTTAGATACTCGTGTAGTAATAGTGTATTATAAAATGTATTAAACAAATGTATGGAAACAATTAACAATTATAGTGAGTGTGGTCATCCTTTGCTTTTGGAATGTCCCTCTGGAACTGGTGTAAACACATGTTTGTACCTTTTTACCTTCCTGGGTTAAACTGTTTAACAATGTTTTAAGCCTGAATTTGGGTCTCCTGGAACTTCTCCTGGTTTCCGTTTGTCTCTGTAGTGCAGGAAGTATTAGCTAGGCAGCAGTTGATAAACTGAAAAAAAAAAAAACCTGGCCCTATCATCTCTGAATAAGCATTGCAACATCAAGAACAAACACTATTTGCACCATTTGGTGAACATGTCATGTACCTGGAACCTTATAAGACCATGTAGACATTATAGATTATCAGCAGATCTTATGAACCAAATGAGATTGGTGTCCATAAAACTACTATTTCCCCACAATGTTTAATGGTTGGCAACTGACAACCTCAATTGGGATGTGAGCAGTGACCAATTGGCAATTGGTGCTTTGTTAGACTCACATTTGAGTACACTTTCACATGTGCCTACTATTCCTTTCTTTTGATTACATTTTTCATGTGTGATTTATGTTTTGTATATTTTGGAGACTTTTTCCCATGGCAAGTACAAGCACTATTAGGCCCCTTTAGTTCCCTTCCTAACAAATTTTTTCTCTTGCACGACCAGTGTGTTACTAATTTATGTTTGTCCAAATTCTAATTGGTTTGCCTATATAGTGCAGCTAAAGCCAAGGATAATTCCAGTTAAGTTCCTATCGGTCTGCAGCTTAGAAGCTTTTCTGCTCCCCAGGCATTGTGCCAGTCCCAATGCTACGTTAAAAACACATCTAGAAACTTTACAGAATGTCCCAGAGGTCCAATAATAAGCTGGTAAACCCAGAGCCTCCAGCGAAAACTCAGCGAGTTCCCAGATTTGCCAAGGGCAAACCAAATATGAGTTCATTAAAAGGCGAGCCTCCAATTACATTTAAAAATTATAAAATTGGATGAGTCTTACTAGCGCTCAATATATACTGTCTACATGTATGCTTCTATCAAAATCACTGTAAGCAGACTTAATTACATCTAAATCTCACTTCATACTCGGCAACTCCCAGGAGATAGAATCTTTGCTTTCACATAGTGATGAGCTTAAAGGGGTCCCAAGCGTTGCATTCAGTGGTGTCTTTCCCTTTCAGAATTAATGGATTTTATTTTATACAAGCTAAATAAGAAACATGCTGACATTTATTTTTAATATAGTACAGTAATTTAAAACCTTAAATAGAACAACTGAGCAAAGACAGGAACATTCAAGGTCAGAACAACTTGACATCACTTCATTCATATCTTTTCTGTTAGCATTACATGAATGTTTTTTGTCTGGAAGACTTGTATGAGGCAAAATTTTTGTAAAAATAACAAACAATATAAAGTATTCAACGTACAATCCTTCAGGCTGTCATTTTTTTTATAACAGCAGTTGCAGTGCAATAACTATAAAGAAAAAAAAAAGGAAATTATCCCTTGCAGGTATTGGGATAAAAAAAGTGCAAGTTAAATACAAACATGACATGATCCGGATGTAAAGCAGTTTTATCTAGAACACATGCATGTAGGCACAGTAGGAAGTGGCCGGGGCACATAACCACCCTGACTGTCTGTTCTTTGAAAAGGATAAACACCTTGACAGAGCAAATCTAAAACAATAGGAAACAAATGGGGGCAGTGCCGGTCACGAAAACCCTTATGTGTCTGCCTTTCAAAGTAAAGAGTTGCAGGTATGTTTCCTATGTAACATTGTGTGACTATATTCAAAGGACACTGGAAAAATAGTGTTTGTTTTTGCAGTATTGCTCAGAAAATCAGTTTTTGTTTTATTTAGAATTTCATGGATTTTATTTATTTTTCAACCCGTATTACTATATACTCTGACCCTGAAGAATAATGGGAGGTGAAACTAGTAATAATTGGATGAAAGAACTATTCTGGTGTACCTACTGTAACACACAGGAAAGAGGGAGACAGACTAGCACTAAGCTGCTCAAACTGGGAGGAACAGGGATTCACTAAAAACCTATAAAAAAGACAAATAAGAAATCACCTTAAGAATAAAGTGTGTGAACTCCAGGAGCTGGCTAGTGACTAATGGCTAAAAATGTGGTAAAACCTAATAGGTATAAAAGCAGTTGAGTGATTACTGTGCCTTCGATAAGACATAAAAATGTGGCGAATAAGAAAAAAGTAAATAGATATAGGAAAAAAATAGAGGAATAATTACATTGCAGAACTAAGACTGCCTTAGTGGCTGTCAATTTAGTCACCTAAATGATGCTGGAACTAAACGCTATACATTACTACATCTGGCGTTAGTGAAAGCCCCATAGGAAAGTACTGAAGCAATGAGTCTAAGTGTTATGATGATGTCGGAGGAGGCAAAGCACTACCCAGTCGAGGGACATTGGCACGGGAATCGGGTGACTAAAGTTTTTTTTTTACCCCTTTAGCTTCTTAGGGGGAAGACAAGGGAGGGGGACCAGTAGGCTCTATAGTGTTAGGGAAGCAGATAGCAGACATTCAATTTCATAGGCCTAGCTGGATCACCAAAAAATGCCTAGGGAGTTTATGTTTGTCTATCAAACCACATGTGGAACATTTTAGATTGCCTGTTATATAAATATCCCACGGCTTTGAAAACTAATACACCAGTGATATTTTTAAAAATATATACTTTTTTTCCAAAATGTTTCATTTATTTCTTTTAGTTTAAAGAAATAAATACCGTATATACTCGAGTATAAGTCAACCCGAATATAAGTCGAGACCCCTAATTTCACCCAAAAAAACTGGGAAAACTTATTAACTTGAGTATAAGACTAGGGTGGGAAATGCAGCAGCTACTGTTAAATTTCTAAATAAAATTAGATCCCCCAAAAATTATATTAATTGAATATTTATTTACAGTGTGTGTATATAATGCAGTGTTTTTGTATGAATGCAGTGTGTGCATGAATACAGTGTGTGTGTGTGTGTATGAGTGCAGTGTGTGTGTGTGTGTGAGTGCAGTGTGTGTATGTGATGCAGAGCCTTGGTGGGGAGGTGAGCATGTTTATTATTTTTTTAATTATTATTATTATTATTTTTTTATATATTATTATTAATATTTTTTTATTATATTATTATTAAATTTTTTATTTATATTTATTTTCCGCCCCCCTCCCTGTTTGTTAGCTGGCCAGGGAGGGGGGCTCTCATTCCCTGGTGGTCCAGTGGATGGGCTGTGCAGGAGGGGGGCTGGCAGAGAGCTGTTACTTACCTTTCCTGCAGCTCCTGTCACAGCTCCCTTCTCTCTCCTCCGTTCCGGTCAGCTCCTTTCTCCTCCACTGTAAGTCTTGCGGCCGTGCAGAGCGTTCACCACGCCTCTCGCGAGATTTACGGTGGAGCTGACAGGGTAGCTGACCGCAACGGAGGAGAGAGAAGGGAGCTGACACAAGCTGCAGGAAAGGTAAGTAACAGCTCTCTGCCTTCCCCCAACAGGAGCCCGGCGGTCCTGGTCTGTATTATGGCAATGTAAATTGTCATAATACAGACATTAACTAGAGTATAAGTGAGTGGGGGTTTTTCAGCACAAAAAAATGTGCTGAAAAACTTGACTTATACTCGAGTATATACGGTAATTAAACATTGTTTATGGTTACAGGGGGCAGCTGATTAATATTCTTTGGTTACAGTGAATATAAGAAGAGGTTACACATTAATAAAGTTTATCCGTTACCTCTCATAACAAAAGCATTCTGACAATTTAATGAATAGAAACCATCTGTCCTATAATTACACCGCACATTGTATGGAGCATCATTGATATCACAGAGTACAGACCTATTATTTGGATGTTTCCTGGAACAGATTCACCACAATCCCTCCAGCCATTCTGGTGATAAAAGATGAAGAAAAAAAGAGAGAAAACTTTGAGAAGAACAGGTCTGTCAAAAGCTGAAAATGTCAGTGGAGAAAAAAGATTTGTTTTGCTAAAGGGATTAGTTTAAGGTGTGAAATTTTTGCCTGACTGAAAATGAAATGCAAAGGAGATGCTGTAAAAATTATCAGTTGCAATACTGTGAATCTTTGGTGTGCTGATCACGGACACAGTGTGAATCTAAGTGATTGTGGTAAGTAATGGAATGTTGAACGAACATACAGAAGACAGTCGTCATGTGATATATTTGTTAATAGAAATAGTAAAATGTTTTTTGGCAGAGAAAATATAAATCTATAAAGACTAATAATTGTACACTAGCACACATTAGAACACACGTAAAGAAGGGGATGCAATCAACAAACAGATCCAGCTTAAACCAACATTGAGCAAACAAAAATAAAAAAATATTATTCAAATTGTCTTTGTTTATAAAGGTAAAACTGAGAAAAATTACTTTTTATAATCACAGAAATGTGAAGAGAAGTTTTCCGATAGAAAAATAATTACTAGAGGTTATGAATAACAATATGGGATGAAGTAGGGCAGAGAAAAGATGAGATAGGGGAATGGGGGGCTCCATGCTAGAACATTTCCTCAGTCACATGCTGTATCCCATTAGCACTTTCTGATCTACAGATTCCAATATTGTTGAATGGGTAAGGCAGTGGCTGAGTGACAGGCAACAGAGGGTTGTAGTTAATGGAATATATTCGAAGCTTGGACTTGTCACCAGTGGGGTACCTCAGGGATCTGTACTTGGACCCATTCTCTTTAATGTTTTTATTAGTGATATTGCAGAAGGTCTTGATGGTAAGGTATGTAATTTTGCTGATGATACTAAGATATGTAACAGGGTTGATGTTCCAGGAGGGATAAGCCAAATGGCAAATTATTTAGGTAAACTAGGAAAATGGTCATAGTTGTGGCAACTGACATTTAATGTGGATAAGTGCAGGATAATGCATCTTGGACGTAAAAACCCAAGGGCAGAATACAGAATATTTGATAGAGTCCTAACCTCAACATCTGAGGAAAGGGATTTAGGGGAGATTATTTCTGATGACTTAAAGGTAGGCAGACAATGTAATAAAGCAGCAGGAAATGTTAGCAGAATGTTTGGTTGTATAGGGAGAGGTATTAGCAGTAGAAAGAGGGAAGTGCTCATGCCATTGTACAGAACACTGGTGAGACCTCACTTGGAGTATTGTACACAGTACTGGAGACCATATCTCCAGAAGGATATTGATATTTTAGAGAGAGTTCAGAAAAGGGTTACTAGGTACTGCCAAAGTTATGTTTGCTAGAGGTGTAACTAGCCCTTGGCACATAAGTGGAGATATCTCTGTAATTGCAGCATTTCAGAAGTCATGGTGGTTGGAGTAACTCATTAAGCAAATACATGAACTACGTGAAATATTCATCTGGTTGCAAATATTAAAAAAAAAAAAAAAAAAAAATAACCAACAAGATTGTCTTGTTTAAAATCATGTAATTCTGACTGTTGATTTAAAACATTGTTTAAACTGACTTTATTTAAATAAACTCAAACCTGCATGTGATAAGTGCTAAGCAGTATTAGCAGTGGGGGCTATTTCTTAGAAAAATAATGGTGTACATTGATGCCAATTCCATGTACTATGGGTTACACTAATAGCTAGACTATTTCTTTAATGAATTAATCTGCTTTTTTCAAGCAAATCTACACATATCTGCAATATTTATTCATTGGCAGTACAAACAACCAGAGAGCAAATACTTCACAAAATGAAAAATAATATATTGATATAATTTATATTATAATTTGATTTAATATTGATAAAATAATAACATAATTTGAACTTCAGAACTGGAATTATTGAGAATAATGCACTCTTCTAAGGAGTTATTTTTTTCTCCCTAGGGGAAAGTTACCTAAAAAGTGCTACTTGGGATTTTTCCTTATATTAGGTCGTATTAAAAATGGTTACTATGTGCCTGAATAGTTTATTAAACAAAACTGTGTAAATTAAGTTGAACCAAATTGGCAGGCAGATGGTGGCCAGTTTTGATTAATTATTATGAACATAAATTAGAATATGAGCAGTTGCATATTTCTATCACTTGGTTTCAGATTACAACTATTGGGTTATATCCAGACAGGCTGAAATCTGAATTAATTTCTAATTTATTGGGAACTATTATTCAAAATATGGACACTGATAAATCCTGTGAATTCTGCTGTCCAAATGCCAATGCATGAAACTGGATTTTAATTTATAATCTGGTCAAGGTGTCAGGGTACCTTGTGTTCTGAGACACAGGGGGAGGTTTACAGACCTCATGTTCCTTTTTTGATGCGGCACATGTGCACCAACATGATGACGTTGACATCATGCAATGTAAAAAGCAGTGTTTTTGAGATTATGGGGGTGTGGCTAACTAATTAAGAAGCCCCATTATAAATAGCCAGCTATGGCTAAGATCTATGCCCTGTTGTGGTTCTGTTTTGGTTCCCAATAGCGCATTATACAGGGAGTGCAGAATTATTAGGCGAGTTGTATTTTTGAGGATTAATTTTATTATTGAACAACAACCATGTTCTCAATGAACCCAAAAAACTCATTAATATCAAAGCTGAATATTTTTGGAAGTAGTTTTTAGTTTGTTTTTAGTTATAGCTATGTTAGGGGGATATCTGTGTGTGCAGGTGACTATTACTGTGCATAATTATTAGGCAACTTAACAAAAAACAAATATATACCCATTTCAATTATTTATTATTACCAGTGAAACCAATATAACATCTCAACATTCACAAATATACATTTCTGACATTCAAAAACAAAACAAAAACAAATCAGTGACCAATATAGCCACCTTTCTTTGCAAGGACACTCAAAAGCCTGCCATCCATGGATTCTGTCAGTGTTTTGATCTGTTCACCATCAACATTGCGTGCAGCAGCAACCACAGCCTCCCAGACACTGTTCAGAGAGGTGTACTGTTTTCCCTCCTTGTAAATCTCACATTTGATGATGGACCACAGGTTCTCAATGGGGTTCAGATCAGGTGAACAAGGAGGCCATGTCATTAGATTTTCTTCTTTTATACCCTTTCTTGCCAGCCACGCTGTGGAGTACTTGGACGCGTGTGATGGAGCATTGTCCTGCATGAAAATCATGTTTTTCTTGAAGGATGCAGACTTCTTCCTGTACCACTGCTTGAAGAAGGTGTCTTCCAGGAACTGGCAGTAGGACTGGGAGTTGAGCTTGACTCCATCCTCAACCCGAAAAGGCCCCACAAGCTCATCTTTGATGATACCAGCCCAAACCAGTACTCCACCTCCACCTTGCTGGCGTCTGAGTCGGACTGGAGCTCTCTGCCCTTTACCAATCCAGCCACGGGCCCATCCATCTGGCCCATCAAGACTCACTCTCATTTCATCAGTCCATAAAACCTTAGAAAAATCAGTCTTGAGATATTTCTTGGCCCAGTCTTGACGTTTCAGCTTGTGTGTCTTGTTCAGTGGTGGTCGTCTTTCAGCCTTTCTTACCTTGGCCATGTCTCTGAGTATTGCACACCTTGTGCTTTTGGGCACTCCAGTGATGTTGCAGCTCTGAAATATGGCCAAACTGGTGGCAAGTGGCATCGTGGCAGCTGCACGCTTGACTTTTCTCAGTTCATGGGCAGTTATTTTGCGCCTTGGTTTTTCCACACGCTTCTTGCTACCCTGTTGACTATTTTGAATGAAACGCTTGATTGTTCGATGATCACGCTTCAGAAGCTTTGCAATTTTAAGAGTGCTGCATCCCTCTGCAAGATATCTCACTATTTTTGACTTTTCTGAGCCTGTCAAGTCCTTCTTTTGACCCATTTTGCCAAAGGAAAGGAAGTTGCCTAATAATTATGCACACCTGATATAGGGTGTTGATGTCATTAGACCACACCCCTTCTCATTACAGAGATGCACATCACCTAATATGCTTAATTGGTAGTAGGCTTTCGAGCCTACACAGCTTGGAGTAAGACAACATGCATAAAGAGGATGATGTGGTCAAAATACTCATTTGCCTAATAATTCTGCACTCCCTGTATATATCATATGGTCTTTCTGTACTTCTTGACTCAGCTATTGTTCTTCACTAATCCTGATTTCTGGTTTTCCTGACTTTGGCTTGTTCCTGACTATTCTCTGTTTATTATACGCTAAGTCTGGCCACTCTATGGTCTGATATTTCATTTCATATTTAGGTTGCATTCTGCATGTTGGGTCTTCCTAAATTCCTGACACCAGACCCTTTGGAATTTAGAGTATAAACTTTTCAGGGGCTTTAATGTCTGTTTCTAAACTAAGCCAGTTACAAATTTTACTAAGCTAATGCACATTGACCACTGTCAGTATATAGACACTGTGTCATGCTTAATATTGATGATTGTACATTATTTAAATTACTGGCATTTATAATGCTCCAACATTTTCCATAGCTTTTTAGAATTTAGGGATGTAAAAGTTATTCAATAACAAAACTATTACAATTGTTAAAAGGAAACAGTAGGTTATTGAAGACACTACTCAATTGAGTTTACAACGAAGACGAGATAATGGATAAAAACACAAGTGATTGAGTAATGTGGGAGATAAGGCCAAAAAGGTTAGTGTGCGGGAAAGCAGTAGCGTTGAAAGGTGAGCGAGTGAAAGATAAATGATGACAGCTAAAAATAGCATAAACAATGTAATAAATTAATGCAATAATTAGTACAAAATAAATATTTGAAACACGTGAACAGGTAAATGTTATTTTGTCCTTTCTTGCATTTTTGTTATGTTAGTTGTTGCCACTGGCAAAAGACCTACAGGACTTAAATGCTAAATATTATTGACATCTAAGGATTCCGTAAGCGTTTTATTTAAACTTAGCATTAGATTTTTTTCCCAGTGTTAGTTTGTCATTATATGGTGTAGGTGTATACGATGTTTATATATTTGAAGGCATCAAATAGCTACAGCAAACAAGGCACATTCTTCAACATTCATTACTATTATTTCTCTGTAGAGAACTACAAACTACCCACATTAAAGAGAGTCCAGCTGACCAAGTAGGCTGCCAATCTCTCTTTAAATTAAAAGTCACTCTAAACAGCTAGGGTTGAAAATCCATGCTGTAGAGGTCTTACATTAGATGTTGGACCCTTCTCAAAGACCATAAATGGATCAACAAGGCAATTTATTTAGGTAATTAAGTTTCCTAAGCAGGAGCTATCCACATTATTATGAGATTTCATACATGGAGTATTTTCAAAGCACAGCACTGCAGGGAGAATAGAATAGGAACAAGAAGCGGAACTCTCGTTCATGTAGCAGAAAGTGGTGGGAGGGCTTTCTTAATAGAGCCTTAAAAAGTTCCAGTTGTCTAACTAAATCAAATATGCGATTAAAACCTGATATTTTATTAACATGCCTTGTAATTATTAGCTTAAGATGAAAAGAGGAAAAAAAACAAGTGTGTGTGTATATATATATATATAAAATAGAATCATGCTTTGAATTTATGTAGCCATTTTCAACTGCAAAGCAACTTCCAATTATGTTTGGAACAAGCTCGTGCAATCAACCAAGGCTAGCAGTCTGAAAAGAAAGGAATATAGGCAATATGTTCTAATTACAGACAGTTAACTAGACACACAGGCCAAGATGAATTAAGGAGAGCTAAGCAGGTTCCATATTTTGCATTTATGCAAGTGAGGGTCAGACATTTGCATCCATTGATAAATGCAAGTCACAGAAAAATATTTCCAGAATCATTCAGGCTCCCAACCCCTAATGAGCCATCTAGAAGCTTGTGAACATTTTATGTGCTGTGGGATTTCAATTCATATCATTTAAACATCTCACGACCAGTGAGGATTCAATCTGGGTTAGCTTTTTTTCTTGCCACTACTCTGAAATCCCTTAAGAGACTGAAAGATATACAGTACTCTTTAACAATATGAAAGGATGATATCCCCCTTAAGGATCAAGATTCTGTTTTCTTGCTTTGTACTTAAAGGGCTACTATAATCCTTTTGAGCGGGGGGATCTATCAGGTGTAATATGTCCTATTGGACATTGTGTCTAGTATCTCACCTCTCAATGCGCTGTAAAACCTGCAATAAAAGGTTTTACGTACCTGAAATCCAGCGCCAGATGAAGCTCCTGGCTCTGCTTTTCTGACCCCCCTCTTGTTGTCACTGGAGCTGCACATAGTTTAATTGCAGGCTTTTCATAGAGAACCTCATGATTGGATCAAATTGCTGGCTTTGAGGGAGGGTGTTAGGTAGTGGGAATGATGAGGTGGAAGCGGGGGAGTTTGTTAAAAAAATATATATATATATATATTAATAATAACAACAAATAAGCAGCAGAGGGAGGTGGGAGGGAGTGCCCACAGGAAGGGAGGATGGGATGGGAGGTCTATCTTCCTCTGCAGGCGCTCTGCCTAAAGTAAACATCACAAGCTATTCACCAAAGTGTATTTCAATACTAAATATTGTAGTAAAATTGTGTTGATTTTTTAGATTTGTAACATAAACACATCTAACAAGGTGTTTTTAATGTGTTCTTTGTAAACCTGATCCGTGCTACCTCTTTAACAAAATCCCATAATGTATTTAGCTACATCTTACAACTTCACCCCCTCATACCTTTGCAACTATCATGTGATGCTACCGTGACCTATAATAAACCTAACCATTTCAGTTTTCACAGTTAGAATACTTATAGATGGATTTGATGGATCTATGTCTCATTTTAACCGTTCAAATTACCCAACAAGAGCATACCATTTGTGAAAGTAGAAAGTAGTACTCCAGGGTATCTCATATGGATATATTGTGTCTTAACATACTGCCATCTTTTCACCAGTTTATGTCAAAGTGTGTGGTAAAACATTTTTTGGCATTTTTACAAACACATTACATTTTTGCTGGGCGTGTTGCAAATCTGATATGTGCTAGTGGGATTACATCCCCCAAATTATACTCTTCTGAATAAAATAATACCCCCACTGTATACGTCTTTTGCATCTTGTAGACACCATGTAGATAAGGTATGTCAGATGGCATGTTTTGAGACCTGTTATAAAGTCATTTTTGCACCAATTTCTTTCAAAGTTATTTTCACATTATTTTACCTTCAAATTGCAGTTTATCAGTTTTGTAAACATCATGTATGCCACTGTAATCAAAATAACTAAATTGCTGTCCCTCCTGTGTACAGAATAACCTGCTTCACATACCCTTGTCAAGTTTTTGTGAAAACAAAGTGCTGAATTTATAACATGCCCAGTTCAGGGTTTTTTTTGTTTTTTTTTAAATGGCAAATTGAAGATGGTGCATTTTGGGGCATTTTAGTAGCTCAGAAATTTAAATGACGTCATAAATGCATATAATTTTCATGTGTGGACATCATAATGAATCTCACATGATATATTTTGAGCTTTATGAAGGTGCCATTTTTGCACCTTTTTTTGTGTGCAAAGTTTGTTTAATTTTTCTTTATTTATTCTGCTGCTTATTTTTTAATCTCATGTGTGCCAACTGTAATATAAAAATTATCTTAACTGCACTCAGCAACATCTCCTGAGTACAACAATACTCCATATGTATACATTTGCAAAGTAACAATTTAATCCTATTCCAAATACTAATTCAAAATGTAGCCCTAATCCTAATAATAAACCTGACCCTAATCCTAACATGTTATGTCTAACCCTAGTCCTAAAATTAATGCTAAACCTAAATCGAAACATCAACCTAATATTTATCATAAACCTATTCCTAATTCTTAATTTAATCCTAGTCCCTTTATCCCTCTGCCAATAAAAGTACTGATATTAACAAAAATAATTCTAAAATAAAATAGAAAGTGGTATGTTGCCACCATCTACTGGATATTTATAGTAGAATAGGCAGATAGATACCTGGTACATTGAAAAAAGCATGCCCTTTACATTGCATTTCAAATGGCATTGGGGCATGGAGGGAGGCTGTTCAGCTGCATGCAGAAAATCACTGCGGCTGAGCGCAATTGCTAAGCCGTGGTATTCTCAAGGCTGATAGAAAGCAGACCCAGGTATTAATTGTTACTTGGGACTCCCTGGTTTGACCAGGAATTTAACCCTTCTCAAACTTCTTTGCTGTTAATTTAAATACTCGTTTGAAGTTCCCCATGCCGCCCTGACTTTCATGCAGCTCATCTGTCAGTTTGCGGTGAGCAATTTTGTCCTCAGCTCACAGAGGGTAGCTCCAGGTATATACATTTGTTTCATTTCTTCTGTGCAAGATTTCACTATGCTGACAGCCAAGCAGTGGCGGACTTAGGGGGGGGTAGAGGGGGCGGTCTGCCCCGGGTGCCACCAGGTAGGGGGCTGCCATAACCCAGGTCTAAACGCTAAAGGGCGTCGTGTGAGCTGAGGTGACGCACAGCTCACAGGCAGAGACAAGCAAGCTGAAGTGGCAGCACTGAAGTTTGGGGGCGGAGCTATGGACGTTTGGAGGCGGATCCAATCCCAAAGCAGGGGTGGGGCTTAACACAGCCCTTAACCGCTGCTGTTACTGCTGCAAATGAAGGTGCAGCAAGAATAAATCCCTGCTCCTCCACCTAACAGGCTCCAGGGAAGGACTTCATGGAACCCAGTCCTCCTCCAGCCCACACTGTCTGTAAGTAAGTAAGAGAGAGTGTGTGTGTGTGTGTGTGTGTGTGTGTGTGAGTGTGTGTGTAACTGTGTGCCTGTAATTGTGTGTGTGTTGGTAACTGTCTGCCTGTAATTGTGTGTGTGTAACTGCATGTAACTGTGTGTGTGTGTGTGTAACCGTGTTTATGTGTGTGTAACTGTCTGCCTGTAATTGTGTGTGTGTGTGTGTGTGTGTGTAACGGTCTGCCTGTAACTTTGTGTGTGTGTGTGTGTGTGTGTGTAACTGTTTACCTGTAACGGTATGTATGTGTGTGTGACTGTCTGTCTGTAACTGTGTGTGTCTGTGTGTGACTGCATGCCTGTAACTGTGTGTGTGTGACTGTGTGTACCTTTCTGACTGTGTGTGACAGTCTGCCTGTGACTGTGTGATGCTGCCTGTGACTGTATGCATGTTACTGTGTGCGTGACTGCCTGTCTGTAACTGTGTGCGTGTGACTGTCTGCCTGTGACTGTGTGTGTTTGTGGTTGTAACCGTGTGTTACTGTACATGTGACTGTCTGCCTGTAACAGTGTCTGCCTGTAACGGACTGTGTGTATGACTGCCTGTGACTATATGTGTGACTGTCTGCATGTGACTGTCTGCCTGTAACTGTATGTGAGGGGGTGCAGGGATTTTGTATAAGGGACAGGGGTTTTAAAAGGTTTACAAATTCGTGCAATACATTTTAAAAAATGTAAAAAAATAACACATTTAAAAAATTTAGTAGGGTTTTTTTTGGAGGGGGGGTGGGGGTGCCAAACCCAGGAAAGGCCCGGGTGCCACATGCCCTAGGTACGCCCCTGCAGCCAAGTACAAATGACAAAGTTTATACACATGATTGACAGGGAGCTAAGGTGGAGGCACTCAGTTTTAACATAGATGTGACTTTTATTTTTTTACACAAAACGGATTTGTTAAATATAGTAATAAGTAAACATTATTTTAAAATCCTGGGAAGTGATAGTTTCCCTTAAAGTCATTGGGTTCCTAATGTAGCAGCTAGTGGAGAACATTAAGTTTCACTGTGAATAATGAATTCTCTAAACATTTTCCTGAAAACACTAGTTTCCAAGAGTCCAGAAATTGCACCCAGGTTGGAACTCACCCTTTATTTGAACAAGCAACTCAGCACTCTGTCTCCCAGATTTTCCAATTTTTCCCTCGACATGACCGCATGAAAAAAAACAAAAAAAAACACAATTTAGTACAATTCCTTTTGTCCTCATTAAATATGCAAGACAAGATTTGGAATGCAAATGCGTCATTCTCTATTAATGAGTCCAGTCAAACATAACAAGGGACATCAAATAAATGACTCCAGCTGCATATAATTAACTATTTTACTGTGAAGAAAATGACTTTTATTGGCAATCATGTCATAACTGCATTAGAAGTCATATTTACAGGCGTCTCGCAAGCAATACTCACGTGTACTCTGAATTAATGAGCGTGGATTTGTCAACTTCCACCAATTAGCTGACACCCTCTTGTAGCTCGCTTGCCCCTCCTTCTCCATTCTCCCAGGAGTATGGGAATTGCTGGCAGAACACAGTTTATCATTAGATGCCAAATGCTATTTAAGTAAACAATTTTACATTTAATATTAAAGTAATTCAGCTTTGACTCGCTTGGATGTGACTCTGGATTGACAGTGTCAAGAAACATTTACATAAATAGCATTATTCCCACATGACTAATGCTACAGTATGTTAAAAATTAATACACGATAGATGTTGCAGAAAATCTAATCAAATTATAATCTGTCAAATATTTCTTAATTATATATGTATGTGCGTGTGTGTGTATATAAATAAATATATATATATTGTGTATATATATATATATATACACTATATATATATATATATATATATATATACACAATATATATATATATATACACACACACACAATATACACAAATACACATTTATGTATAATTCAAGCACAGATGTTACAGCACTCGCTCTAAAAACAAACTGTATTCCATGTGATTTATTTTTTTTGCCCGGGTTCTACCACTCAATAGATGTATGTATTTTTTTTTTTTTTTTTTAAATGTAGGCATTCATGGGACTTGAATTCAAATATTTATATTTTTATTACAAAATGCAAAGCTGTCAACGTTTTAGACCCTTGTTGGTCCTTTCTGAAGACAATTTCCAAAAGCAAATACACAACACATATAGCATAAGCAATGATTATTGTTCTAATTGATTAATAATTGCTTATGTTATATATGTTGTGTATTTGCTTGTGGAAAGTGTATTGGGGGCTGATGGGTTTTGTACTTGTTGCAGTTTAGTGTAGTGATTAAGAAGAGGGATCTACTGTAAGTGCAAAACTGGGACATGCATCTACCAATGCTACCTCGTATTTGTGGGAGTTATAGTCAAATACACTACACAGTAGATATTTTAGCTGCCATTATTAAATTATCAGCAAGTAGTGTTTGAGAGTTTAATTACCATAAATGACCCATATTGCTATAGATTAGGCAGTGCAGGTTCGGACGGGGTGGGACGCTTCTCCTGTTACTTCTTCTGGGGGACTGTGGTGTCGGACCTGAGGGGGACATCGATGGCCCCTGCCTCTGTGGTCCCCACATCTTCCTCCTCCCCGTCGCGTTCGGTAGCGGGGTTGCCTGCGGCTCAGCCAAGTGTTGCGGTTGCACTGGCTGCAAGTGGCGCAGCCTATGTGTGTTAGTCTTGGGTTACATTTGCGCCAAGAAGTCTGGGAGAAAATCTGGAAAGGGGAGTTTGTGGAAATATTTCCCCTGCTCCCGTTGGAAGGCTTGCCCCCTCCTGGTAAGGAGTCTGAGGACTCTTACAAGGATAAGGACAAGTTCCAGTTTCAGAAGATCCCCAGAACTTTTGGTGATTGGCTCAGGGCCTTCTCGATCCTGGCAAGTGTTATTGGGGAGCAGGTGCTCGGCCCTATTCTGTTACTAGGATATGATGTGGAATGCATGTTGGGTATATGGGGAGTTGAGCTAATGGGGCTATGATGAGCAGTTTTGACATAGGTTGTCGGTTTGCCCATCCATTGGATGGGATCAGATGGATATTGGCTTGTGGTTGGCGACTATGACTCGCCCGGCCTCACATCAAGGGGGCCTCCGCATCAACCTTGCCCAGGCACATGAGTTGCTGCTGGCAGTTTAACAATTGCAACAATTTCATCCATTGCAAGTGGGGAGCCGGAGGCAAGTTTAAGCATTAATACTCCGGGTTCTCACTCCGCAGTCTGCTGCTTCAAGCTTGGTAAGGCCAGTGAGCGGGGGTATACCATGGTCTTGAAGGGCGAGGATGCTGGTGGATGTTGGTGTGATGGTCCCGTGGCTAAGCCATTATAGGAACTGCAAGGCAACACAACTGCTGCTTGGGGGTTTCCACAATGGGTTTTGGATTCCCCATCGGGCTTGAGATTCCCCTGGGGTCTGTTAGAAACTCAAGTTGGTTCGGGACCACCCTGTTGTGATAGAAGAAAAGCGCAACATGTAGCTGTCCTTGGTGTATATGGCAGGCCCGTTCGCAGCTCTGCTGATTCCTAACCTTTGGGTCTCCCCTTTGGGTGTGGTGCTCAAGAAAGAGATGGGCACATTTCGGCTGATTCATCATTTATCCTACCCATTCTGGGGGATCAGTGAATGATGATATTGATGCTGAGCTGTGCAGGGTATCGTATGCGTCTTTTGACATGGAGGTTCAGATGGTCCAGGCTGCGGGTTCGGGGGTCCCCTTATGGCTAAAGCAGATGTTGAAACGGCCTTTCGTTTTCTTCCGATGCACCCGGTCTACCACCATCTGCTCGGCTGTATTTTCCCGGAAAATCATTATGTGGACTTGTGCCTGCCCATGGGTTGCTCGATCTTCTGTTTCTATTTCAAATGCTTCAGCACGTTCCTGGAATGGGTGGTGTGGGAGGAAGCATCTTGCGACTCACTTGTATACTACTTGGATGATTACCTCTGTGTCGGTCCTGCAGGTTCGCATGTATGTTCACACATCCTTTGGACCCTAGAGTCGGTTTCACGGTTTTTCTGAGTACTTCTGGCCCCTGAAAAGACAGTGGGTCCTTCCACTTGTTTGAGATTTTTGGGGATTGAGATTGATTCGGTCGCGGGGGTGTGGGGGTGTCGTCTGACGGAGGATAAGGTTTCGGCCGCTGGGTGGCTCAAGAAGATTCAATTGCAACAGCTGCAGTCACTCTTGGGCTGCTTTGTGTGCTGGATTGTTTCCATGGGAAGGGTGTTTACTCGTTGCTTGACAGCGGCGACCTCTGGGGTGGAGCGTCCTCATCATTAAGTGCGGATCACTTGCCCCCGGCGCATGGACCTGGCAGTTTGGTCCGTCTTTTTGGAAGGTTTTAATGGGCGTTCCTATTGGCAGGCTCCTGAGGTGTCCATTGCCGTGCTCCATCTCTTCACTGACGCGGCTGGGGCGGTGGGTTTTGGGGCCATCTTTGGTGCCCACTGGTGTGCAGACTCCTGGGGGTCTTTCCATGCCCGATGGATCTCTGGGGCCTTGGGTTGACCGAATAATGTCCTGGATCCTGGATTTGTCCTTGGAATGTACATGGCAGCATTATGGTAAGGCATGGTGTGAGTGAGTGGATTTTGAGAGGCAGCTAGGGGGATTCTGGTTGGATGGAGATCAATGGCAAGGTCTGTTACAGTTAATCTGGTTGTGGGAGGCGTTGGGCTGTCCCTCTTTGGCTTTTTCAGGTAAGTTTTCTGGGCTCAGTTTATGGTTTAAATTGGTTCAAAATTTCGGATTCTCTGAGGCCGGTTTCAGGTGCTCTGATGGTGGTGCTGTTTCGGTTTGCATTCACGTTCACCTTTTTTTTGGGGCCATGCTGTTGGGGGAGCTCATTAGCCCATCCAAGGCGGTCCCTGGGAGATTGTTGTTTGGGGATGTTTTTAGTAAGGTTGGAACAGTGCGTTTTTTGCTGCGTAAGTCCAAGACGGATGTTCTTGGCCCGGGTATTTGGTTCACGTTGGCTTTGGTGTTGGGGTGTGGTAATTTAGGGGGTAAACAATCCCTCCCCTAACCTTAGGTACAGTTATGGAACAGACGTGCCCACTGAGCCATTTAATTGGCTATAGTTACTGAGCAAATTATGTATATAGGATGTTTTATGTTATTAAGTTGAAGTTTAAAGATTTATACATATTTATATGTTTAATAAAGCTGTGGCCTATTTTCACCAAGTAAGTCTATGGTTTGATTATTTCGGGTAAGTAAGTGGTTGGGTTAGCAGTTGGGTAGGGGTTATGCCCATTCAAAATACCCTCTACCTATGCACTAGACCCTGAGTACTCAGACAAGGCCTACACAGAACAGGGACATGTGAATGTGAGGGGGAGTGTATATAAAGAAGGGTGAGGAGGTCTTTAGAATGGTGGGAGGAGGATTAGTGGCAAAGGGGTGGGGTATTATAAATAGGTGGGCATTTAACAGGATAAGCAGTCATCTTAATTATTAGTTGGTATCAGCTTCCCACCCTCCCTCCCCTTGTTTGTTTCTTATTTGTGTTTGTTGTCAGTGTGTTTATTGTCACAGCAGTACCTAGTGCAATAGCCCTTGTCAACCGGGGGTTGGACCAGCGGTCCGTGGAAAGTGGATGCGTAAGGTCTGTCCCTCTGTATCCTCAGGTACAGTTATGGATAACAGACGTGCACACTGAGCCATTTATCAGCTAGTGGTGTGAATTACGAGAATGGAAGACCCAGGAAAGGCCTGGTGTTGGTTGGGACGAGGGGGGAGGGAAGCTGCACAAGTGATTGTTTTTAGTTGGCAAGGTGGTACTCAGTGACAGATATATTTATTGAGTAAACTATGTATATATGATGTTTTATGTTATAAAGTTGAAGTTTAAAGATTTATACATATTTATATATTTAATAAAGCTGTGTCCTATGTTGACCAAGTAAGTCTATGGTTTGATTATTTTGGCAAGTAAGTGGTTGGGGTTTAGTGGTTGGGTACGGGTTATGCTCATACCCAATATATTCTACCTATGCATATGTCCTACATGTATTGTGATCATGTCATAACTGCATATACAGTTTCCCACTGAACAACTAGGAAAGGGGGACCATGACTGCTGCCCATGTATTGTGGGCTGGATTAATAAAGGATACAAATGTGGCAAACATAAAGGGGTTT